GTTGTTTCTTTCATATCGACAAACAAAATGATTTACGTACAGGATATAGTCAACATATGTGACGAAAATAGATGAAATGGAATAATAAAAGATTCTAGTAACTGTCATTATTTTATCAAGTTTACTCTAGAGTCAGAGGGTGACTCAAAATTTTCTCTTCTACATGTTTTGTTGAGCGAAAAACGACGACCGATGTGTCAAAAGCCAAATGACTTAGAAAAGGGTTTTGCTTATCAGAAAAAGAAACTTGAGTTAATACCTTTTCTCAAGAGTCCGACAAATAAGCACTGAGAACGCAATCAGCGAACAAAATAATGGATCCTAGGAACTATTTGACGAAGACAGATACCTTAGCAGGATCATCGAGAGAAACATACAATGTTAAAAGCAAATTGTAAGATCCCTAGCAGTATCAATGATATTGTTTGCGAATGTTTTATCTTAAAGAAGCCCGTTTATTCCGTTGAGCCGAAGATTTTCTTCCTTAGTGGTAGTCTAACTAGTGAATGTGTAACGAATAAACTGCTACTTTAAGCCATCTATCAATCCACTTGAACTAATGAAGTAAGGAACTAAACAAAGAATACCCTTTCTGAACAAATCTGCCTACATGGTTAACAAAAGAAGAATAGAGATAAATCAACACATGAAGCTTTGGACAGTTCATCAATTCTGATTACATAACCCCAGCAAAATTAACTGCGAAGTCAAACTAAACTGCAGGATAGAACTATTTATCAAAAGTTTTTGTACAGCTAATGCTTTAATAATAGTCAGACTCATGCAGAAATTGTGTTCATTCACTCATTTAACAATATTGATAGTGTAATAAGTGTTACGGAAGGAAACTAATGATAGTTATGCAGCAAAATTAACCAAGTAATGTTTAAAAAGTGGGCTATTAAGTGTTGACGCAATGGTCCAAAGATAACATTCTTTCTGAAGGACCAAAATGTTGTAGATTTGGTCCTTTAATGGGTTGTGGGTATGCACGTTTGAGTTAGTAACTACAAAAAATATCCCTACAGTATTCCGTAGTTTTCAACCGTTGGTTTACTGAAGTCACTTCATTTTTTGAAAAGTCCTAATAATTCATTTTTGTATTGGCTGTTTGAAACTTCCCACTGACATTTAGGACTGTAATTGATTAATCTCTTACTGGTATATGAGCATCCTGTGCGATTAGCTTCAATATAGCCTAAAGTCACAAGCATTATAAGCAGAAATGGATGGTGGTTAGCACTGGCTACCCAGACTCAGTAGGTAAGTGGATAACGCGATGACCTTTGAAGTAACTGCTATTTGGTTCGAGTCGCGGAGTGGACATGAACTCCTCAGGATTTAGGTACATCCAGCTGTCAAGGCCCAAACAAAAAGCAAAGCACGTCCTGGATTCCACTTTTCATCTCTGCTTACGGTCCTAATAATTGCCTGGATAAAAACCGAAATGTGACGAATAATTTAAAGTAGGCAGTCAGTTGAAAATCGTTACTTTTGTCCATAATATCGTTCATATATTTGATTCTTATTATGAACTTTTCTAATTCCATTAAAAGCAGACCATAAATTTCGACAATAAATGATGTATTACACTGATATTAACCAATTCATAACCATGTTGAATGCAAGTTATAATGAATCAGGAATGAAGGGTAGGGTAGATTTTCATCTGTCATTACAATAAATAACGAGGCTGAAATTATCCAAACATCTGATTGGATTTATTGTGTCATGTTGATACTAATTTTGTGTATGTTCACAGTTATTTTTTGTACGTATTGTTTGATTTTTTTAATCCCCTATATCAAAAATTATTTTAAATTAGAATATATTGTAGCGTACATTTCGATGAATTCAAATTAGAATATTATTCAAAACACCAAGTGAAACCTTTCTAAGCTGAACAGGAAATTCATAAATATAATTGCTTTATTTTCTAACAAGTACCTAGAAAAATATAATACCAGTGTAATGGAAAATTGGGTTCCAATAATCTAATACATCACTTTGCATCTTGTTTGCTTCTCAGTAATTGCATATTCCCAGGATAGTCTTATTGATTATCAAAATTTTCTATAACAAAACAACAACTTCCTACGCTGCATGCGTATGTATTACAGACAAATAACTAACGACTACTTTTCATATTTATCATACATTTTTATAAAAATTATGTGATAAAAAGTATCATGGAATGCGATTTTTACTATTTATTCACATATGCCTTTTTATAAAATAATAAAGTAGCTGAATTTGATATTTATCACCAAAAAAAAAAAACTAAATAAATAAATAAAAAAAATAACGATTCCACCTTTTAAGAAAAAAATCGACATTTTCAGCTGTTTCAAAAAGATAAAAATTTACAATAAGAAACCAGCTAGTTGTGGTAGGATAGACTTAAGAGTAGAATGAAATGCATACAAGGTATCAACAAATTTTTTCTAAATCAGTATCATGATCACACAGGTTGTATGTAAGAAATATGGAATGCTGTTGGTTCTTTGTGGGTTGAGGGTGTTCTGTTGATTGTAAATCAAGCTTACATAATAAATTATCATATACATTAAAATAATTCATTCGGCTATCTAAAGATAGCATTGAGGAATAGTACAAAAATCAGTTCTGTTCACTGTTTATCTCAGAAATGCTCGATTTGAAATGGTTGAATGTGAAGTAGTGTTAATCTCTATATCAATGTATTCATTTAACCATCACAAATTGTCTTAAATGATGTTCAATTCAAAAACAGTCAGTTTCAGCATATCTGACAAACTGTATTCAAGATTTAGTGGTAGTAGTAGTAGTAGTAGTAGTATTGATGTCATTAGAATAGTACGTAAATTCTGTACTCCAACCGTGAATATAAATAATTCAATCAGTGTATACAAAGCAATTGACTTAATACTGAGATTATCCACATCACATGATGCATACAACAAACAAACAAGTCATTTTGGTAGGTTGAAGCGGCCTGTATCAGCGTGCCGTATAAGTTAAAGGAGAAGAGTGTATTTGTAAAATCTCAGTGAATGAATTTGAAGCAAATTCAACGTTTCACTTGGCAATATATATATATATATATATATATATATATATATATATATATATATATATATATAATAGATGTATGTACATTCAGAATAAACTTATTCACGAAGTACTAAAACTAGTCAGCTGCTAAGGGAAACTAGTTGTTTGAGACTACCTCTAAATCCTCCTAAGCTAACTCAGTCACTCAATTGATACTAATAGTGCAAAAAATTATGAAGAATTCTTAGATGGATCAAAATAACAGTGGACAGATGTGCTTTACTGGGAACTCAATAAACTTTTACTTCTGTGGAATGCTGTCCGCTGTTGAAAAAAACCTCATTTAATTTTTGATTTATTTTATCAGAAAATAGTTAGCGGTGTATTTGTTTGCTTATCACATTCCTACTATAAAAACAACATCACTCTTATAATCAGAAGTTAAACTTATTGTTTAATTTAATTATCTCGCTTCATGTTAAATACTGTTTGAACCTAGTTAAGTTGTAAATAGCATTATTAGATAAACAGAATTGAAAAAGGCAGAGATTATTATTAAGGTTATTGTTAGAGTAACAAAAAAACTTAATCTCCTTAAAACTGTGAGAAAAACTTTTTCCACTAATGTTTACATGAGCCACCAGATGTTAACATTACTGTGTCGTTATTACAAAATATGGTTAGTCAAAAAAGCAAGCTGAAAAGTAACCATTACTTAGAGATCATGCACATCTAAAATTTCAAGTAAGTATTATTTTCAGAATCGTTAGTACTAATTTTAAAAATACTCAAATCTGTGGTCGATTGTTTCATGGTCCATCTGTAAAATACAGCACTTCGATCAATATTTGAGAGATTTCATTTATATAAGAGATATATGGATGATACTTTCATTATTTGTGAAGATATGAATTACAGTGAAATTTTGCATTGGATGAGGAATTACTTTAACTTCGACAAATACTCATCAGAAATAATCATCTAACTAGATTTGTTTATGGAAACTTAACAACAGGACAGAATCCTAAAAATGCAACAACGATCCGAATGAAAACTCTTTGTATGAATATCGGACTTAAAAGAGATACGGCTGCTGAAATCTCTGACAAACGGATTTCAAAATCTCAGAATAAAACCCTCTACTCAGCTAAGCTTCTCATTGTCTACTCAAGCCGGCCTAGCATTTATGGATATGTTATTAATAAACTTTCGCTTTGGGCCACATCGATGTGCATCTATAAATTTACTTGCTTCTGTGGGGAAGATTACATTGGCCGCACAAAGCGATCACTTTCCAAACGCATCTCAGAACATTACCCCGCGGGGCTTTTAAAGGAGAATGCAAAACAGTTACCAATTCAATTCAGGAGCATCTAATCAACTGCGGACGCGTCGTTCAGGAGTCTTCGTTCAGAATAATCTACACAATTAAAGGAACTGGATAGAAGGGAGGTCAAATAAAAAACCTGTGCACTGCTGAGGTGTTGGCGACCCACCAAATCAAACCCGAACTCAGAGTGTGAAAATGATACGTCAAACCTCTCATTCTTCCTTGGCCCGAATTCCCTTACGTAGTGTTTTGGTTTTTCTAATTAGTGTTTTGTAATTTTAAACCCGTAATCAGTTACTATTATCCTTTAACAATTTCCCATGATTATCTTCCAGTTATTATTATGACCTTTACGTTTTTCATTTTTCTTCATATCTGTCAAGAGGGCAATTACCTTTGATAATTCTAGCCCGTAAATTATTTTCATCCTTCTATTCTTCTCTAACCCCCTGGTCATTACGCAACCTTGTTTGATAGTTGGAGTCTCGAATCACATTATGATGCAATCTTTTCTATCATTCTATGGATATATATTTACCATGCAAATATAAATATGAATGTCGAAAAGAAATTTTCTTTCGTTGAATTCTATTTATTTCTATTTAAAAGAATTATATTTAATGAAATAAATGATATCGTTTATAAACAGTCTGTTTCATCAGATAATTCGTACAAATAGTTGTACAAAAAATTGTAAGAACATAAAGGAAAAATTTAAGCATTTATCTGTTGGTGTGAATAGTTCATAACATCAGTTGACTGAAGTGCAAATAATGATTAAGAAAAAATGAATAAAAAACCTTTTAAGAGATAGACAAAGAGATGGAGGAAAAAAGATCAAGCTGATTTTATTCGTATGATATAGTCCCATTTTCAAACATACTACCGATTTATATTTGTATAAACATAAATGTCATGAATAATATTCACCACAAGCCATACTATCGACATCATTCACACTCAGACTAACTTGTTTATATCTAATTAAATTATCACTAGGATTAATGATTCCTATTTCTTTGTTTATAAAGTTCATTTCCTCACTTATCAATTTATTACAACAACTATTATAATTACTGTGATAACCACGCTCAATAGCATTTTCCGATTTTATTGAACCTAATGAATAACGATCTCTAATAATATTGAAACTTCTTTTATTGTATAACGCTTTCTGATTTATATTTGACTTTTTCAAAAAATTCGTATTTCCCAACTGACAACCTTCATTATGAGCTTCTTGTCTTTTTAAAACTTTTTCACGTCTCATTTGATCATGATAAAATGCAGCGAAATTATTAACAATAATTGGTATTGGTAGACCGACAACAAGCACACCGCATATACAACATACTGAACCAATCACTTTGCCTAATACCGTTTTTGGTGTGATATCACCATAACCAACTGTTGTCATAGTGATAATAGCCCACCAAAATGTAGCCGGTATGCTTTGAAATTCATTCTTATTATCATCTTTTTCAGCGAAATAAGCTAAGCTTGAAAATAATAGAACAACAAGTACAACAAATAGCATTAATAAACCTAATTCCTTATAAGATTGCTTTAATGTATAACCAAGTGCTTTTAGACCTTGCGAATGACGTGCTAATTTAAAAACGCGTAATATACGCAGAATACGAAACATTTGTACAATTTTACGCATAGATACAAGTGAATCTAATGGTGAATGAAGCCATACTTCAAAAATTACAGAAAAATAATAAGGTAGTATAGCAATAACATCGATAAGATTCATTGGACTTTTAATAAATGTACATTTATTTGGTGCAACTGATAAGCGTAATGCATATTCAACTGTAAACCATATTGTACAAATTGATTCTAACGTTTCCAAATGTTCGTTTACATAATCTGCATTACTTGTGGTATGATTATCATGATTAATTCCAGACGAATTTCCACGTAGTTCAGGTATTGTACTTAAATTCAACCCAATTATTGATAATATGATGAAAGCTATTGAAATTACAGCAAATATCTGTGTAAAAAAAGATAAAAATACAACTTATGATATCAGCAAATAACATCAGTCTACAAGGCTAATAATAAACTATTTGCCTTGATCATATTATTCAGTTTAGGATTAATATAAGACACTCGATAGCCTTGTATATTGTATACGATATTAAATGAGTGAACCCAATGGTTAAGAAACTCTATACTAAACGCGTTGCTTTTCACACTTACTGGTGAAGATTAACTGTAAGTTGGAAGAAAATGATATGTCCTATGTAAATATTAACACCCATCATTTGATACCTGAGTTAAGCCTGTTACGGCAGTACCGTCGTTAGTATCTAACATTTATTACAGCATTTATAGCAACGGAATAGCATAACAGTACTTACTACTTTTGGTGATCAATATGTTTGCGATTTTAAACAAAGGTTTTGAAAATTTTGTTTTCTACGCTCTCTATATTTACTTTTAGGTTTAAGTGACAACTTAAACAGTTTGAAATTGTTCTAACGATCCGTATTATGTATTATTGAAATACAAACTATGATATTTATGCAATGTGTAGTCGTTATTACCTACTAGTAACCAATATTTATATAGAAAGAACATATAGAAGATCCGTATATGTTTATAAACGACGTAAATTTTTCAGAATGTCTAGTAATACCCCTGTCAATTTTGCTGATGAACCTACATTGCAGGTCACGAAAACGATCAAAAATGATAGAATTTAAAGTTTTACGAGCTACATATACATAAATACTTCAAATAAAAAATAAAACGAGTAAATACAACATAGTTATAGAAAACACTACTGAATAATTTTACACTTAAAAAGAGAAATAAAGTATATCCCACTAATGACTCATTATGTTTACGGCAAAATTGACACTTATATTGTAACAATAATTTTGTACTGATATCCAAAAGAAGATAGACAATGTACGCTTTTCAGTGACTCTCGAAAGCTTTAATAAATCGATAATATTTAACTCATCTCTTTGTCCAATCTACTTTGTTTATATGGTCATTTGGTTGTTGTTGAAGGTCGGTAATAGCAGGCAATAATTTTCGGTGAAATTTAACAGAAAAAGTCTAAAACTTTAAAACATCTCTAGAAAAAGTCATATTTCCGTGGTGTCCTAGCTTCAAATGACTCATGAATTCAACTATTAAATTATTATTATAATATCCACAAAACCCTTCCCTGATTATGAACATTATTAGTTTGCAAAATATTTTTAATTATTTTGAAATTGATAAAAATGTCTTATATGAAATGTATTGAGTTTCCCCGTTGTTTATATTAAGAACTGTAACTGACTAGTTTCTGTCGGTAAATGTGCATCTTGATTAAATTGGCTACATGTAACCTTATAGTTGCAAGCTTTGTTAGACATGTAGCTAGTAGCTAGTAGTGGAATCCAGGTTGCCTTATTCATCTTAGCGTGAGTGTCAGTTCAGGGAGTAGATACAAGTTTGAAATAGAATGGAATATTAGTCACAGTTCAAATTATATATATATATATATATATATATATATATATATATATATATATATATATATATATATATATATATATATATATATATATATATATATATATATATATATATATGTAAACTTTAATTAAGAGTGGATTTCATTAGCGAAGAATGGGGAGATGTACCAGTGTGGTGAATTTCGTTATATTTAGACAGCACCAACTGATATTAACAATGAAGCTAGAAAATTATGTATTAGGATAATGGAATATAGTTGGTTTTCTTCATAAATTAAAAAGTAGACTAGTACAAAAGTGTAATCAGAAAAAAACCTACAACAATTTCTCAAAATGGATAGAATCTAGTAATCGGAGTAAAAACAGATTTGACACCAAGTGACACCAAGTGAAGAGTCAATAAAAACCGTATGGTATTGACTAGCTATTTGTCCTAGATCACATTTTAGATATATTCAGACAACGCGAGCTGCGACTGACTAGTGGGAAAGATAGGTATGACCTTATGAATGACATAATGGACTGATTTAGTATTGTAAATTACTCCTCAATCTGTTTTTTGTAGTAAATATTTTGTTATTGATTTCTGATTCTAAATAAAACTATTGGACAAGTGCAGAAACAGTCCTCGTGATTTAATGCGCACTCAGACCATAATAAAATTAAAAGCTATCTTTACCGGGAATTCTAAAGGTGGGACAAACTAATCATCTGCAGTACCCTCCGTCCCTACACAAACTCCATGAAACCGAGTTGTAATGTGGAAGACTTCCAGACGTCAATAAATTCGTATTACAACGTGGCGGTTGTTTATTGCTAGTAAAGAAAGAGCTAACGATATTGTCCAGAACACCAACAAAAGCTTTGTAGTTAAACTACCCAACATAAAATATAATACCATAGCTGAAAAAAAACATTATAAATGAATAATTATATGTAACATAATAACATGTCCAAAACAGATTGTGAATAAAATGGAAAGGAAAATATTTTTTCAACTGAAATTCTTTTGAAATAATAATCAGTCAGCCAAGTTCAATCTTCTTAATTTCATATCAATATCGTTCTGATAACATAAAGAGGGAAAATATATCCATAAAATTTCGTTTTATGAATACACTTAACATTATTCTACGGATTGTAATTGTTAATCTTTGATCTTAGATAAACAATACCAAAACAATAGTATTTTCATAAGGTTTTAGTGTTAATAGTCGGTTTCTTGAAATAATATTAAAAGTGTATATGAAAGCGTTTCAAGAAAAGAATTTAATTGAGGAAGATGTTTTAAGTTGTTATAGTTTCGAGCTGTATAATTGCCAAATATTTATGGTAGAAAAAAGGTATAAAGTGTATAGCGATCCAAAATTTTATTTTGTCATATAAATTGTTATTATTGATTTAATAAATAAGCCGAGGTTAGAATTACAGTTGATTCGGTCAACAATTAGACTGGTGAAAATTCCGCAACATACTAGAATTCTTTTAAAGTGATGATAATGAACATTTTAGAACGAAGTGAATTCATTTCAGTTCATGTGCTCCAAGTCAACTACATATTCACCTATCTGTACAACTGAATGAAACGTTTCATTTAGAGTTGCCATGGTGGCCAATTCATCGCTGCTCTTCCTTTTCTTTATTTTCCTAGGTTTATTTGGTTGACCTTATCTTTGTTCAGTTATAACCGTTGCATTATTCATCTTAGTCCAGTTTCCACTTCATTTCCAACTTATAGTTACTATGATGAGTCTTATTATTTTGACATTATCCAATAAAATATTTGACACTTTATCCATTTAAGCATCCGACTACCCCTGTCTTCTCAAGTCCTCGTCAGTTATTATTATTATTACTAATATTATTATCACAATTATTATAATTACCGTACTTCTTTTTTTGGTTATTGCTATCAATGTCATCGTTTTGCCTACTCCAGTCGTAAGTTGTATATGTTCTTATATCCGATGAAGTCATGGTCTCATTCTTTTTTGTAGAATTATTCCTTTCCACTAGTGAACTAAATGAATTTTTAAATATCACGCATAAAATTGAGATTGCAAAACTATTCATTTGTTGGTACAAATAATGATTTAGAAAACACAAAATAAAATGAATTCATTTTATTTTACAATATATTGTTGTGTTCGCTTTACAAAAGTTTATCAAGAGAACCTATTGAACGAACCTAGAATTTGTGGTGAGCCTCAAGTTGTTCAATTTCTCTATGGAATGGTTGAATAAATTGTAGTAGTGATTATAATGTATGAAATATGGAAATGAAGCATATCGAATATCCAAATATTTATAGTAATTTGAAATTCTGAATACAGATCACAAAAACATTTATTATTTAAAAAAGAGATAGTCACTACAAACCGCTTCACTATACTTGATGTGAATGAGGTGAGTAATAAATGCATTCCAAAAACAGATAACCCCAGTGATCTCCAGTTTTAATATGAAATCCCTGATTCTCTTTGCTTAGCCTGTAGTTAAACATCTTAAATGGTATTACAATATGGAAATATATTGCATGATTTCTACCTCAGTTACTAAAACGAAACCATTTTATACCGTAAAACACGAAACAGATAAAAATAAAGGACGCGGTGACATTCTATGTAGACTTCCTCATAGAGTAACTACTTTAAAATACTAATTTAGTTTGTAGGTTTCGTCAGTTAGACGTAATCACTTTATGTAAACGTGCATTTCAATAACCAATCCCAATGTTCACTCATAAACCTACTACAACCGTCTTGTCCAGAGTATGAAGTTCACGAGACAAATTCATTATCTATAGACCACTGTTTGGGATGAAACATGTATCTATTCTCCCCTGGTTTTCAGTGGTTCCCTGATTAAAGTCGAGACTGTCTTCAAGATGATTTATGAGCAAGAATTCAACAAAATTGCTGGCGTACTGTTAACAAACACATACACATAGCATAAATAGATTTAAAATAAACAAAGTAGTTAATCATGAAAGTAAACAAAAAATTACTTTTCATACATCTATTAAAGCACTACTGAATAATGAGAAAACACACATACACACACTGACTTCATCATCTGAACTCCATTTTCAATGTTATAAAAATGATGCGTCTTGCAAAAACACTTTGCATCAGAGTTTTTGTGCAATTCTCGTAGTTTTCTATCTTATCATTTTCATTTTTTGCGAAACAATCGCTAGAAATAAAAGACAACAATCCCAGCAGTCCAAATTTCACATTTTTATCGGTGAACAAATGTTTTAATTTACTGAAAATAACTATCTTTTGTACGTTGAAGAAATTCACTGAAGTAACTAAATAAATCCCTATCAAGCTTTATTTATTCTCGTATCCTGAAGAATATACACACTGCAGAAACCTTTCACTGTCTTACTCGAAGATAGTCATCATAATGAGGTGGAATTATCCAGAAAAACCTAGTGCGTACGCGTGTGGGAACTGTTAATAAGCTTCACTAACAAGAAGAAACAAATGATAAGCAGTTTCTGGTTTCCAAT